TCAGTATCTTCGGCAGTGTGTTTAGGCCAATACCGCGCCAATTGGGAACAAAAATTAATCAAAATACATCTTTCATTGGCTTCAAGAAATCTATTCCAATCGCAATAATTTCGATGTGATGCCTAATTGGAAACAGTTTTTGGAATATTAGGGGAAAAAGGAGAAAAATAAAAAAAATAATGAGAAATCGTCTAACCACTATTGAGATTAAGCTTACTCACCCGTCTTTTTCAAAAATATATTTAAAGATTCTTTGGAAATAAGAATCGTGTTGTGCCGAAAGATACTTGTATTTATTCCGATTCCAATCAACTCGAATAATCTGGTTTCCGAAATGAAAAGATATATCAGAAATATGTTGATCTGGTAAGATATGTGAAGGCAATGATGAGTCAGGTTTCATTATGCGATTGAACAGCGGAAGAAGATTATTGTCAAGTACCTTTATTCGCAAGACTTCATCACCCAATTTCTCAATCATAATGAAATAATTTCGATCAGTTCGGTTGAGGCCACAATCACAATTGCGCTTTCTTGCGGAGCAAATTATTGGTTTGAAGCCTGAAGACTTAAAAAATTCATTTTCCTCAATTAAAGCCAAATCCGTAGCTTCCAAATGGCACCATCGGACATGATTTAACAATGCATCAAGGTAAGACTTTCTAGACTCAGGATTGTGATTCACCCATCTAAGAATTGCCTCAAAAACTTGGATTTCTGAATGTATCATCACTTCCAAATTACATATGTATTTGATTATTTCAACGGGATAATCCAACCAAACAGATGTGTTTGTTATTTTTGAATAATGACGACATAAGAAGGCATTTAAAGCACCAGAATTGATCAGTTTAGATGTTGTAGTCACTTGAGGTAAAACAATTGGAAGATGTTCAATTTTAAAGTTATTATGAAAGTAAATTTCAATGTTATTTTTAACACTTTTTAGTCCAAAATAATCAGCTATGTTGCACATATGCATTATATTTTTCATCTCCATGAAGATATAGCCAAGTTCAATCCAATGCAGAAACGATACCAAAGTCTGTTCATCGAAATCCAGTTCAATTTTGTTTTCCTTTGATCCTTTCAAATCATGACGTATCTTTTCAAAATAAGGTATTTCACGAATTAGTCTTTTACCAATACGATGTTCCACAGATCGATTCACTATTGTAAGTTGGTAATCAGTTTCTCTTGAATCCATACTTGATACGCAATTTTATTGTAACTGCAAATAATTATCTTCAAACACAGTTGAAATAAAACACAATCTTATTAAAAAAGACTCTTGTTAAATGTTATTCTTGCAGAGTTCAATTATATTTGTAATTCAACAAGAAATTGTCAAATAAAAGAATTTTTCGAATAAGAAACAAAATTGTAATTAGAAGCCAGCCAACTTGAGTCAGAAGCGAGCCGTTTAGGAAAAAAGCCAAGCTAAGTTGTAATTAAATGACTCGAATCGGTTCTCTCGACCCAGCTTGAGCCAGAAAAATTTTCAACAAGAGCTTTATGACAACAGTTTTTTTTCAGACCTTGAAAAATTATGAAATTGTTTTTTGAATAATTCCTGACAAATTCAGCCATAAGCGAAAATTTAATCGGCTTGTAGCTTGAGCTGGTTCAAGCCAAGCTAAAAATTAACAATTTGAATGAGCTGGTCTTGCATAAAATTCGCCTTGCGATCGCCTCGATATTCTGAATAAATCATCAAATCCAAAGCACAATGTACTCTATTGTTTCAACAGGATAACTTGACTCATTAAACACCATTTTGAGAGTTGATATTAGACAAAAGACATCTTTTGTGGACTTATCAACCAAGATCACTCTATCATCATTAGAAAATCACAAGATGGAGTTTCAAGAACAAGATTAATTAAGAACTCGCAAATAGTTACTATAATTTGATGTAAGTAATTTAGTTTACTATCAATTGTTATGCCTAACAATTAAAATATTAACAAAATTTTTGTTGACCACAAACAAAGCTTTGTAATAGAATTGAATGACAATATCAACATTGAATAAAAAATAGACTATGATTTTATTGTCTTTTATCTGCTAAATAGAATCGTAAATACAATTTGGTCGGTTTAATGAATATATAATGAATTACTTAATAGTTGATTCGATTAATTAAGTTTTCGTTTTAAACAAGGTCTGATAGCGTCTATTGATAAAAAAGCTGAGGTAAATGTTAACAGCTTACTAGACTTCTTTTTGCCATCAGTTTTACTGCAGTTATAATTAATCAGTAGACCAATTTGGCTCCATCGTTGAGTTTTGATATTGAAGCAAAAGACATTTCTTGTGGAATTATCAACCAAAAATACTTTATCATCGGCTTGGCCTGAAGTTAGAAATAAATCCTGGAAGTTCAATTGTTTTTTTAATTTGTTAAGTTCAATAATTTCAAACTCTTCCTCTTGGTCGATTTCGAATGTTCTGAACTCCAAATTGTCAGTCAGTATGTAAATATTTTTGTCCAAAATAGTAGCAATAAAATCATCTTCATAGTGATCGGGGGCAGAGTCGATATTTTCAGCTGCTTTATCCGACCAACAATCAACCAATCCCTCATCTATGCAAAGATGTATTAACTTGCCATTAGCTTCAAAGACTGAAGTGCCTGTAGTATACTCGAAATCGTCAGATACAGTTGCCTGATATTGAGTCCTGCGATGGTTAAATAATGGAAAATTTTGAAATAATTATTTTGATTATGAAAAGGAATGAGTAACGCGACAATCGTCGTTGTTTGCTGATGAGGCCTCAAAACATATAGACTCATAGCTTTGATAGATTCAATTTGATAAAATTTCATGCAACCGCTTTTTCTGTATTAGAAGGCATTGTAATGGACTTTCTTCTACTATCAACTAACATGTTTAGATACATGTGAAATTTATCAAGTCAAGCATTATGCTAAGGTGTTAATGAAGATCATGACATGAGTGACGCTTACAATGGCTTGTGTGGTTAGAAAACGCTATTAACATGAAAATTATACTTACATTTTATTCTTTTTGATGCGCCTATCAATTTTTCTACAATAAGATACATATTTTGCATAACCAAGCAAACGACATTTCTTTTGCTTCCAATCAATTCGAATCATTTTCCTACCAGAATCAAATACTACATCAGATACATGTTCATCAGGAAGGACACCTAAAGACAGTGAATCATCTAATTTGAAGACTTGATTAACCAACGGGATAAAATTACTGTCAAGGACTTTGATTCGTAAATCCGCAGTGTTCAACTCTTCAATTGTAATAAAATAATTTTGCTTAGTTCGGTCGCAGTTGCAATCACAATTTTCTTCATAATCGCAAATTTCCCCCACAAATTTTATCAAATCTTCAGATTTGACGAGATCATTTTTTAAGACATCAACAAAATGATCAGGGTCCATATTACACCATCGGATATTTTCCAACAATGGTTTGAAATAACACTTTCTAGACTCAAAGCTGTTACGGAGCCATTTTATGATTGCTTCGAAAACTTGGTACTCTGAAGAAATCATCAGGTTGAGCTGACAAATGTACAACACTGTGACACTGTTAAATTTCAACCAAAAAGGTGTGTTGACAATCTTCAGAAAATGGCGACAAATGAAAGCATCCAGAGCGAACGAATTGATTAATTTGGATGTTGAAGTGACTTGACTTAAAACAGTGCCAATATGTTCAGATGTAAAATTTTTATGGAAATAGGTGAAACAATCCTTTATCAAATCATCATTCATCCCAAAATAGTCAGCCATGGTGCACAGATTGATTACGTGGTCCATCTTGATATACATAAAATCCAGTTCAATCCAATCGAGAATTATTTTGAAAGTCTTTTCATCAAAATTCAATACAACTTTGTTTTCCTGTGATTCCAACACATCATGGCGCAACATCTTTTCAAAATAGGGAATTTTACGAATCAGTCCTTTACTGATACGGTATTCTTTTGAGCAATTAACTATTAGTAGTTCATTATCAGTTTCTAATGAATCCATAGTTGTGGCACAGATTTAAAATCAAAAACAAATTAAATTGAAATGAATAACTGTGTACAGTTAACAACTTATTGAACAATTTATTCTTTTTAGAATAAGTTTCAAATAGCTTCCCTTCAGCTTAACAAGCTAAGCTTATGTAATGGCTATATCGATATTATCGATATTCGGATGTAAAATATATCGATAATTATAAATAATTGCCGGTAACAGATTAATAAAGCTTGGCACTTTCTGAATGTATTTAAGGCTCGTCTTAGCAAATTTTATTAAAACAATGATAAAAAAATAAACAATAAACAATAATTGTGATAATTTTATTTATTGAGTTATAAACAAACTCTAATTTAAAGGTGGCTTGGCTACTTTTAGTAACCAGTTAGATGTTGAGAATGAAAATATCTGGCGGTATTAAAAGCTATCGCTTTTCAGTTAACTGACACT